TATTTCCTAGGTAGTTCTCACAAATGTGTCTTGGGCTCCCAAAGTCATCCTTAGCCTTCTGCAAACCAGATTCCCACAATTTAGGCTCTGAGGCTCTTCCCTCCTTCAACCACGGATTTTATGATTTGCAATCCTTCAATCACTGACGTTGGTGTGCATCTTTCATGTGGACGTAGTTGACACCTCATTTAGATGGATATTTCTTTGGAAACAAGCCTTTAAGACCCCAAATGCTATTTAATCTGATAGCTGGGCACCATCTAATTTTTTCACCACACTGTGCAATAACACCTATATCTTCTATGTTCTCTTCCTAAAGGTAAGTATCAAGCAGGGACATAAAAGCATCTATTCTTGATAAATACATATATTTTTGTTCCTCAAAAATACCATTATTGTACTTTTAATCTTAAAGACTAGTTTATTTGAGTATAGAATTCTCAGCTGACAGTTTTTTATAGAAGTGTTCGTTGTTACCTAAGAGAAATCTACCTTCTGGATTATGTGTCCTTTACCCAGGTCAACTTTGCAGTTGAAAGGAGACCCAGTGGCACAGTGAGTGACAACCACAAGACCTTCTCCTGAACTGCCAAAGCAGCTACTACCTGCTACCTGCAGGGCTTGCTACCGGAAAGGTTAGCAGTTCGAACCCACCAGCCACTCTGAGGGAGAAAGATGAGGCAATCTCCTTCTGTAAAGATTTACTGCCTTCAAACGCTTTCAGGTGGTTTGACAGTGACCTATAGAGCTCCTATGAGTCAGGATCAATTCAAAGACAATGGATTTTTAAAACACGTTTGTTTGTTTGTTTGTTTGTTTGTTTGTTTGTTTTGCAATGGGTTTTATAGTACTAGGAACTGCTGCTGCCTTGACACAGCCTCAGGCCAGCTCTCACTCAGAGCCTGGCCTGTCTGTTTCCTCTGCTCTGACCCTGAGGATTTCTCAAACTCTCTTAGAGGTTTAGCTTGTTGATGAAATCTATAGCACTTGTGGGTCTACTGATGTTTCAGCGTACTTCCTTCATGTTACCTATGGCATTATTTCTAACGGTTCTACCTACAGAGTGTTGATAGTATGAGCAAAGGCTACAAAGAGGATAAGTGGCTTTCTTGGAGGAAAAAGTGAGAGGATATAGCAGGCTGACCATTGAGTTTTTCTCCCTTGACTGCTACAGGCAAAAAAGGAGCTCCTGACAGAACTTCCCTGGGCTTGTCCAACTCAGGTTCCCCCAGAGTGGAA